AACATCCCCCCTTGATGCATAATCATTATTTCCCCCTCTTTAACCTTAATTGTTTGTTCTCCTAGCACCTATTTGTTGTAAAACTCAATCATATACAACAAAGAAGTTGCTAACATGTAACCAGTCACGTAGTAGGGGGTATGAAACTGGGCCTCTCAGAAACAACAGGGCTCTTGCTGGGAACTGATTCCCCTTGGACCTGCTGGAGTAATAAAGTGTACTTCACTGTCTTGAGTGTCCTCCGAGGTGTGTTTTGCGACTCCGGATTCCACAACACCAGGACTCACGACGCACCAGTCTTGGGCCTCAAGCGCCTGGCTGTCTCCTTCAAAGCCCCCATTTTTTTTTTTTTTTTTTTTTTGCTTGTTTGAGTTTCTGTTTTTGGCTGTTGCACAGCTTGTGAGATCTTAGTCCCTCAAAGCTTGAGCCTGCTCTTGGCCGTAAAAGTGCTGAGTCCTGACTGCTGGACCACCAGGGAACTCCCAAATCCATTTGAGATTCACCATCTTCTGTGTCACCACCAAGGCTCCCGAATTGCAAATCTCACTGGGAGGGTGAATCTGGACTCCATCACTCGGGGTTTACAGGGCCCCAAGTAAGAGAAAGGCCACCGGCTGCAGCAGGGGTGCGGGGGGCAATGACGCTGCTTGAGGGAGACCTGCAGGGTTCGTCCACCCTGTCTGTGTAGGTCGGGGGTGTAGACACCAGGTTGGTGTGGCCTCAGGAGCGGGGCGGGCAGGGGGCCCTGCTCGGGAGCCGTGAGCAGGTGTCCTGGGCCGGGGTCAGGGGCTGGTAAAGATAGGTAGCAATGAGAATCGGAGCATCGGCTCAGCTTGCTGCGCACACAGGCCCCTGGCCCCACATTCTGGCCTGTGCTCGGCTCTGTGTCTAGGGCCCCGGGTGGAGACCCCCCTTCATGCTCAGTGATGACAACCTCCTGGTCAATAAAGCACAGCTGCTCCCAACCACGTAAATCAATCAATCAATCAGGACAGAGGTGGGGCAGATGCAGGTGCTGGGGGCTAGGTGAGGAGCCTGTGGTCACTCTCCACCCACCCCGCCCACCCGAGGAAGCTGTAACCCCGAGGATGCCCAACTAGGGGGTGAGGGGGCCCCACCTTCCTGCCCCTCGAGGCCGTCCCCAGCTGACATGCAGTGGCCACGGTCCTCAGGGGGCCCCTTGGTCTCCCACAGTCTTCCTGGCCTCCCTGGAGGGGCCGCACCCTGGAGGGCCGGGCCGGTGGGGACCCGGCCCAGCCTTTCACATCAGACGTGTCTCATCCTCTGTTTCTCCTCCAGCATCTCCTACATGTGTGCCCCCGGCCTGGATCCTTGGCTGGAATGTCCAGGGCTGGGCCTTCCTGGAGGCTGAATGTCCCCAAGGGCCCCTAGGAAACCAGACAGATGGGGGAGGTGTGGTCACCCTCCTGGTCTTAAAGGCCAGGAGTGCAAGGGCAGGGCAAGCCCCAGTTCTCCGTCCGGGCTGGGGGGACCCACCCCCACTGAGGGGCTTCCGGGTCTCCTCCTTGATTCTTTCTCCTGCCCCAGCCCCAGCAGGCTCGCTGCCCCCCAGGCCGGGCCTTGGCTGGCAGCCCTATCCCGGACATCCAGGAAGTTCCCTGGAGGATGAGAGAAGTGGGAGACCCCAGCCCCACAGGAGAGCAGAGTAGGGGCGGGGCAGGGGTGGAGGGTCCCCTCGGGGTCAGCAGATCGGGCATCAGGAGCAGCAGGAGGCCGCCCAGCCCCACGGCCCCTCCTTCTGCAGACTCTGCTCAGGGGTCAGCGGCCTGGATCACTTATGGCACCCGGGCCGCTGCTCACCCCGGTCCTCTCGGGCTCCTGTCCTGCCCTTCCAGGGAGATGGCTGAGAGGAGGCCGGGGACAGCAGTCTCATCTGAGGCCACCCCCTCCTAGGAGCCAAGGTTGGCGGAGCCGGTCCGGCCTCCCCGGAGTGGACATGGAGCCACACCATCCTGCAGGCAGCTCGTCACCCCTGTGTCTGGGAGACCCAGGCTCCAGTCACATGAGCTGTACCTCAGAATAATTAAATAGAAGAGGAAATTACTCTTTACAGACAATTTGCAGCTAATTAGCAGAGAAGGAACTGTAGAATATCACCATGTTGCAATCAAATAAATAAATTGATCTTTGCAATGATGTCCAGCAATTGCCTTCATCAGCAAGAGATGAACAAGCGTCGCACACCTCCTGATAGAAGACACACCTGCCACTCTGAAGTATCTTGTCCAGAAAAATTTATTTGTATTTTCTCAAGCCTCTGGATACAAATATCAATAAGCAGGAAACACAGAGGCAGGAAAATAAGTTAGAGTCTGCACAGGATGGGTTACGAACTGAAAGTTGGGCTCCCTCCAAATCCATATGTTACAGCCCTGCCCCAACAGGATGGGAGTTGGGCAATGGGGTCTTGTGAAGTCCTTATGTGAGATGAGGGCCTTAGTGTGGGGCCCTCTCAATGGAATCAGAATCCTTGTAAAAGAGACAGCAGAGAGCTGGCTACATCAGCCCTGGGAGGGCACAGCAAGAAGGTGACTGTCTGCAGGGCAGGAGAACTCCCCTGGAATGAGGGCTTGCTGCTTACGTGTGTGGGGTATACACAGGTGGAGGAGCATATGCAAGCTCCTCTTGTCAGGAGAGCTGGCAGGTGTGTGTGTTTGAAGGTGTATCTGCCTACAAGCCTGTGGTACCTTTTGAGCTGCAGTTCAGTTCAGTCACTCAGTCGTGTCCGATTCTTTGCGACCCCATGGACGGCAGCACGCCAAGGCTTCCCTGTCCTTCACCAACTCCTAGAGTTTACTCAAACTCATGTTCACTGAGTCGGTGATGCCATCCAACCATCTCATCCTCTGTCATCCCCTTCTCCTCCTGCCTTCAATCTTTCCCAGCATCAGGGTCTTTTCCAATGAGTCAGTTCTTTGCATCAGGTGGCCAGAGTATTGGAGTTTCAGCTTCAGCATCAGCCCTTCCAATGAACATTCAGGATTGATTTCCATTAGGATTGACTGGTTGAGCTTATGTCTGTGTATATGTGGGCTTCCCAGGTGGCACTAGTGGTAAAGAATCTGCCTGCCAATGCAGGAGACGTGGGTTTCAATCCTTAGGTGGGGGAGATCCCCTGGAGGAGGGCATGCAACTCACCCCAGCATGCTTGCCTGGAGAATTCCATTGACAGAGGAGCCTGGTGGGCTGCGCTCCTTAGGATTGCAAAGAGTCAGACATGACTGAAGCCACTGAGCATGCATGCGCGTGTGTGTGCATCTCGAATAATCGTGTGCTCTGTGAAAATGCACCCCTGTGCCCTCGGGCAAGTCCTGTCATCCTCTCCTTGCCCAGGCTGGCAGCCAACCCTTCCTCCAACTCCCACCCCAGGTACTCTTCCTGGAGTCCCGGCCAGACAGACATTCCTTCTGAGCTCAAGCCCTGGCAGCCTGCAGAGAGAAGGAAGGCTCCCAACTGACAGAAAAATCTGAAAAAGTGCCTGACGCTGGACTGGGGCAGGAACACAGGCCCCTTTGTGCCGCCTCTGGGCCCCTTCCTCCCGCAGCTGTACCTGCCGGGGTCCTAGGCCTCCTACGTCTCTGCCTCCCCAGGAGGATCCGGGGCCCTGGGAGGGCTTCTCTGCCCCCTGCAGCCGGCTGGCCCTGCCCTTTCCCAGAGGCATCATGGGGCTGGAGGCCTCTGGGGGCACGTGCGGAGTTCTGGAGGACAGGTGAGGGCCTCACCTTGGCCACAGGAGTGGGGGGCGGGGGCTGAGCCCTAAGGAGCCTGTCCAGGGGAACCAGTGCAGGCCCAGAAGGAGGGGCCAGCTTCTGGACAAAGTTGCCCTCTGCTCCCTTCTCTGCACAAAGGCTGGTTGTTGTATGAAGCCCTCCAGCCTCTGCAGCCGGGACTGCGGACAGAGTGTGGTCTCTTCCCAGGCAGGGAAGAGGGGTCCACCAGGAATCCTGACGTGGTGGGTGAAGGGCCACACATTTGATGTTTCCAGGTCATAAAGTACATGGAACATGCTCCCCAGTGCCACTTCCAGCCTGAACACAGCCCCAGACTGTATCCAGATGATGAACCATAACACGTGTTTATGGACAATGACATTGAAACTTCAGGGTTTTCCAATTGTTGCAAATTTTCTTGAAATTTATTCTAACCGTATCAACATGTAAACAGTATTCTAAGCACACAAGTAGTGGGGGAGAAACCCATGGAGGGTGGAACTTGGCCTTCAGGCCATAGTGTGCTGACCCCTGGGTCAGCCACGTGGTGTGAGTAGGCAGGTGGCAGCTAGACAGAGCTCCACCGGACAACGGCCCCCAGCACTGCCATCCTGATGAAGCCAGGGACCCAGGTTCCTGGTGGCCAGCTCTTCTCCTGTGAGGCCATGCACACACCAGGCCATGCTCTGCACTCCTTCTCTTTGTTACCACGGGGGGTTCTGGACCCTGAACTGTGCTCTGCTCGAGGTAGGAGCCCTGAGCCCCATGAAGCTGCTGCAGGCAGCTACCCTGAAGCACCCCTGTGAGGCTGACCCTGTTTGGTCAACTGGGAAGAGCTCTCAGGACACCTCCCCCACCTCTGAAGTCAAGGTCAAGTGCAGGTGCCCAGAAGAGAGACCCAGAGGTGAGAGTAAAATACCTGTCATTGTCTCCTTGTATTTGTGTAGGCTGCGGGGCTAAGACAATAAACACAGCACATCCGGGAGCCTCCCCACTGGATGGCTCTGGGGTTTGCCCCAGGAAGAACCCCCACCGTCAGCTCCTTCCTGTCCCCCCGGTGACCCCTTTGCTCCTTCCTCCAGGAGGGGGGCCCCCAGGGCCCCAGAGGAGGGTATAAAGGGCCCAGTAGAGGGTGCCCAGACACCACCAGACTCCCAGCACCAGTACTGGACCAGGTAAGACAACCTCCCCTCCCCACCATGGTTGGGCCCATGAGGTCAGAGGAGGCCCCTCTCTGAGATCGGATGGCCTGTCCTCTTCTCCCCAGGAGCCCTTGACTCTCCAGCCAGAAGCCATGATGCTGTGGTTGACCCTCGCCCTCCTGTGGAGCCCCACCTGCTGGGCAGGGGGTAAGTCTGGCTGGGGCTCCCCTGTCCAAAGCATCCCCCCGGAGACCACCCTCACCTCCCACCATCCGGGGCCCGGGTCTGGGTCAGCTCTTGTCACAGACTAACGCTGCTCCCAGACCTGTCCCCTTGTCTGGAGGGGCTGTGCTTCCTGCTGGACAGAAAAAAACAACATGTCACTATGTGTTTATTTTCTTTTCTCTGCCCCACCTGGTTCTTTCATTAATAGCTTTGTATGGGCATGGAGGAGGCTCATATTTCAGTACAACTGAAGACAATGAAAATGAGATCACCGGGATCAGAGTGTTTATAGGTATTGCTGGCATAATTAAGAGGTGAGTTAAGCAGCGCCCGGAGCCCCTCACTGCATCCCAGCACCTGCCCCCACCTCGGGAACCTGGGGAGGGGGCTGGTCCCTCCTCCCACCACCCTCACTGGGGTCCTGATGTCTCCTGAGTCAGCTGAGGCCTTGGGGTCCTGGAGCCCCCAGCCAGCACCTTCTGTCTGTCCCTCTTCCTCTGCTGTTTCCTCCCCTGCACACCAGCCCTGTCCCCTCCTCTCTCCCCCATCAAGTCCAGCCTCTGCTTCTTGGGTTGATCTTAAGGGAGGGGTGCTTCTCCCCACTGTCTCCTTTCAACCCCAACTCAGCTCAACCGGAAATGGTCTCTCTGTTTGAGAATGCCTATAGGAAAGCAGAAGTTCTGCCCAGGTTAGAGTCAAAGAGAAAAGGAAGGAGGGTCAGAGTGGACCACTGATTGAACACTAGAAGTGCAGAGACAGCAAGCCCAGGGTCTTCCCCTAATGGTTAAATGAGGCTTTGCTCCAGGCCTGGGGTAGATATTTGCTCTGCATTTATGGAGCCCAAGGGACCCGGGGAGAAGGAATGGGCCAGAGCAGTAGGCACCATCGGGGCCAGCGTGTGGGCAGGGCCAGGTGAGGAGGGGACACTCTGGGATGGACACTGAGGTGGGGGAAGGTCACAGATAGGGGTCACCTGCTCCTGAGGCCCCCACCTGGTCTAGTGCAGTGACTGGGGCTCCAAATGCTGGGCCCAGGATCTGCTCCTCTCTCTGAGCCAGGAGACCAGCAGCACCTCCTGAGAGCCCTGGTGACTATGCACCTTGGGGAGCTCTCCTGATGGAAGATCTCAGTGATTCCTCCTGCAAATCAGTCCCACTTTGCAGATGAGCAAACTGAGGCCAGGAGAGGCTGGTCTGCTGCTGCTGCTGCTTAGTCGCTTCAGTCATGTCCGACTCTGTGCGACCCCATAGATGGCAGCCCACCAGGCTCCCCCGTCCCTGGGATTCTCCGGGCAAGAACACTGGAGTGGGTTGCCATTTCCTTCTCCGATGCATGAAAGTGAAAAGTGAAAGTGAAGTCGCTCAGTCATGTCCGACTCTTAGCGACCTCATGGACTGCAGCCTACCAGGCTCCTCCATCCATGGGATTTTCCAGGCAAGAGGACTGGAGTGGGGTGCCATTGCCTTCTCCAGAGGCTGGTCAACAAGCCCCAAATCACGGAGTCTGAAAATGGGAGAGAAGGGGTTGAGACCTGTCTCAGGCACCAAAGTCACGTCAAGGACTTATGCTGCAGGGACAGGCTGTCCTTGCTGGACATGGGGGAGGGTGGTGTTTAGAGTATTGGGGATTTGCGGGTCACCCAGACCCCGGACCTTCAAAGCTAACCCTTTCTTCCAGTATCCAGGTGAGGTTTGGCTCCTCCTGGAGTGAGAAATATGGAGCCCCAGGTGGGACCCCTCAGGAATTTGTCCTGCAGCCCGGTGAATACATTACAGGAGTTGGTGGCTCCTACAAGCTTTTCCTCCGGCACTTGGTCATCTACACTAGCTATGGGCGTAATGCCACATTTGGAGAGAACGGTGGCAGGAGCTTTTCTGCCTTCCCTGGTGGGAGTGAGAAAGTGCTCACTGGAGTATTCGGACAACATAAGCTTCTGGGTATCTCCAGCATCGGCTTTGACTGGGATTATCCAATAGTACAGTCGACCTATAATCAAGAAAGTACTGCCTTATCCCGATAAGAGCTTGAAGATGTGTCTAGGAAATGAGCACTCCTGGGACCCCAGGGCTGGGCTGTGTGTTACCCTGCCAAGGCCATCTGGCTGGTGGTGGGCACAAGGCATCAGGGACCTGAGTGCAGCCCTGAATCAGAATCCACCAATAAATCCAGCTTCTGCAGCCACAGTGGGTCCAGGGTGCTCCTTGGTCTGGGATGTGAACAAAGCCTTCTGAGCTCGTGGGGACAAGGCCTCCGGGGCAGAGCTGCAGGAGGAGGCAGGAGGGAGCCAACACCCCAGGGCTGGGTGATTCTGACAGGATTCAGGGCCTGCCCATGCAGACCTCAGGCCGATCCCATAATCTGGGAGGATTGCGGGGGTCCCAGAGGCCCCATCCCCTGCTCTCTTCTGCAGGCCCATGCAGGTGGCCTATGCAGCCCAGGCTCAGTTCCAGGATTCTCTGAGCATGCAAAGGGCTTAGGGAAGCCCCCATTCATTCACTCATTCAGAACACATATGGCAAACCCTGGCTAGCAAAGAGCTCTGTAGACTCTGGAGGAATAGAGAATGGGCCAAGAGTCCAGCCAGGGGCTCCCCATGGGGAATGGACACAGAAGCAGATGGAGACAACTGGTGGTTTTGTCTGCATTGATAGTGACAGGTCTAGTGCCCTGTGCTCAGGCACAAGCCCAGGGAGGGTGTGCTTAGGGAAGACTTCCTGGAGGAGGCAACATCTGAGCTCAGTTTAAGGGCTGAATGAGAGCTGGCCAGGTGGGGTTAAGGGAGGGAGGCCTTCCAGGCCAAGAGATCAACACGGGAATGGCCAGAGCCAGGCATCCCCAGGACCCCACTTCTTGAAAGGCGGGCATCTGTTACAGCCTGAAGGGAAAGGAAAGCAGTACCCAGGCATGGCACATTCTCTCAACGCCTCCATCAGACTGCAGCAGCCTGCCCCTCAGCCACGGTTCAGAGGCCGCCCTGTCTGCCCTCAGCTCCCTGCCTGGCAGCCCTAGAGGGACAGGACTTCTGCTTCCTCGTTTGCAGAAGGAGACAGTGCAGGCCCAGAGGGCACAGAGGTTCGGCCTGTCACACGGCACTAGTGGCGGAGTTGGGATTGAGGGGGAGGGGGTCTGGCTGCAAAGTCTGGGCTCAGATCCACAGGCCCAGCAAAGATTTCCAGACAAACCCTCATCTCTGGGGAGACACTTGCTGACATGTTCCTCTTGTCTACCTTTATTTTTATTTTACTTGCTGGTTGAGCGCCACATAGCGGTTCTTATTAAAAACAACAGTGTTAACAAATTACGTTCAACTTTCTCAGCCTGAGTTTCCACATCTGTGATGATGGGAGATTGACATTCACTGAAAGCTGTTGTGAGGATTAAATCAGATAATTGTTAAACCACCTGGCATCCCGCCTGGCCCCACTTGGGTGCACGATTACTGCCATCTTTCCATCCATTCATCCATCCACCCACCCTTCATCCCCTCATTCAAGGAATAAATCAGATAGGAGATAAATAAATCAGATGGGAAACTTGCTAGCAGACACACAGATCTCTTTAGGAGAAACCCATTTCTATAAGCAGCACGTGGGAACAGAATTTCTAATGATATAAGCCTATCTGCTCTCTCTCCCCTCACCCCACCCCTGTCCCAGCACTCTCAATCCTCAACTGTAAAAGGAGTCCTCACAGACGTCCTGGGTGGCTCAGTTCTAAGGAATCCACCCGCCAATGCAGGAGACGTGGGTTCAATCCCTGGTCTGGGAGAATCCCACATGCCACAGAGCAGCTAATCCCATGTGCCTCAACTACTGAGCCTGTGCTCTGCCAACTTAAGCACACCTGAAAGGTATTAGTTTGTTCACGAAAGGACCACCCCTTCAAGGTGGCAGGGACATTTCATGCATCAAATGAGAAAGTGAAGATCTTGGAGAAAATCCGTCTTCTACAGACAAGAGACAACCTGGACCAGATCGCACCAGTTTGCATTTCTGTGGTCTCTGTGGGGCCCATGGGTGAGCCCAGGCAGACATAGACAGTCTGGCAGTGGGAAGGAACATTCTCAGGCTGTGAAGTAAGAGAACCATTTGATTTTCCTTCACCTGTTCAATATAAATAAAACCAATAGCTGGGCAAAGATCTGGGGTAAGACTTCACAAAGGACAATATACGAGTGGCCACCATGTACACAAAAAGATGCTCATCATTGGTTGGAGGATGGCCCAAGTGTCAGGACTGACAACTCCAGGTCTTGGTGAGGATTCGGAGCCAGTGGGATGCTCCTATGGCTGGTTGAAAGGTAAAATGTAAGAACCTCTTTGGAAAGCATTTGACAGCTTACTGTAAACTTAAACTTACATTCACCATGTGAGTCATCAATTCCACCCCTAAACATTTACCCAGGAGAACACAAAGATTTACAAACAAATATGCTTAGGATCTTTATTCATCATAGCCCAAAATGAACAACTCAAGTGTTCACCCACTGATAATTTAGACAAGATGAAGTAGAAATAAAATACTACTCAGCAATAAAAAGGTAACAGCTACTGAAATGCAATTAACATAGATGAATTTTGTTATGTTATGAATCCCATTACATTGATTAAAAGGAGACAGACATGAAAGAGAAAATACCATATAATTTCATGGATGTGGAATTTTAGAAAAGACAAAAGTAATTCATAGTGACAAAAGCAGGCCTGTGATTAGGGAAGCTGAGTTTGGGATGGGACCAAATGCCGAAGGGCGTGCTAGGTGCCCTTTTGGGATGGCAGAAACTTTTCTCAGTCTGAGTGTGGTGGGAGATGCATAAACATCAGTGTATACATTTGTCAAAAACTCATCAAACTGTTACCATACATGCATTTTATTGCATGTAAAGGGTACTTCAATAAAGCTGAATAAAAAACAAAACTGGAAAACTGGGGAGAGAATATAGCTGACTATGAAAACCTTGTGGAGGGTCACGTGATCATGTTAGAAGAGGCAGACAAGATCACTGAGCAAAACCTGGACAGACGTGAGAGAGTGAAATGGAAAACCTGTATTCACAAAAGCATTATTAAGGTCAATTGTGTAAATGAGATAAAATAGCGGAACTTCCTGCTTAATGGATACTGGGTTTCTGAGGGGTAATAGAAAAGCTCTGGAGCTGAATAGCAGTAATATTGCAAAACCAGCAAATGTACTTAATCACGGAGTTGTTTTCCTTGAAAAGATCTAAATGGTAAATTTCATGATTTGTGCATTTACCCACAATAAGAATATTTGCCAACATTATCCAACATAGGAATAGATGTGGAAAAGATCACACAATCCATGCTTAGCTGGAAACCCCCGAGAGATAGGGCCCAGGACTGGAGAAGACGGGAATCAGAGGAAAGACCCCATGGCCAAGGGCATGGGGTGACTGTAACTGACGGGACGAGGGTGCAGGCTCTGTGAAAGGGGGACCCAGGTCTCAACAAACCAGAGGAAACCGGAAACTTCCCGGAGAGGACAGTGAAAGCATCGGAGCTTTTCTCCTCATCCTGGGTCACGGATCCCTGAGTTCTTCCCGCAGACTCCAGGCTAAGAACCACCAAGTAGCCCTCGCTGAGACAGGAGGGAGGCGGCCAGCAGGCAGTGAAGACAGGCTGGACCAGCTGAAGCCAAGGGGACTCTGACAACAGCTGGGTCCTTAACTTTAGCTCATTCTGCCTTCGTTTTATTATTGAACATCACACCCCTTCACCACGACAGTTCTGAGTGTGACCATAAAGACCAAAATATAGACAGTGGCCAAATTCCTGAAAATTCCCACTCTATCCAGAAATAGCAAGAATGTCCCACCACTCGTTACTGTGTGAAATGACTGAGTCTGTAAAAACCTCCAACCCCAAGCCCTGGCACCGCTCTAGGCTTCGGAGATGGACTGCCTTCTGCCTATGACGTGTGCTTCTCCCCAAATAAACCTGCTCACCCCTTATTCTGACGTGCTCTTGATTTCTTTTCTGGGTAAAGGCAAGGATTCTCTCCGGGGGTCCCTGCGGGGCCCAGGACCTGACACTCCCTCTCCCACACACAACCCGCATTTACAATTAATGTAAAAGTAGAGAAGAGGAACACATCATTGAGGGAACTGCAGAGAGATGATGATCAGTAAGGAAACCTTCCCTGGGTCTGTGGACATGAGCCCAGACTTTGCAGCCAGACCTCCTCCCCCTCAATCCCGACTCCGCCACTAGTGCCGTGTGACAGGCCAAGCCTCTGTGCCCTCTGGGCCTGCACTGTCTCCTTCTGCAAACAGGGAAGCAGAAGTCCTGTCCCTCTAGGGCTGCTGGGCAGGGAGCTTAGAGGGGACAGGGCGGCCTCTGCACCGTGGCTGAGGGGCAGGCTGCTGCAGTCTGATGGAGGTGTTGAGAGAATGTACCAGGTCTGGGGGCTGCTTTCCTTTCCCTTCGGGCTGTAACAGATGCCCGCCTTTCAAGAAGTGGAGTCCTGGGGATCCTGGCTCTGGCCATTCCCATGTTGATCTCTTAGCCTCCCTCCCTTAACTCCACCTGGCCAGCTCTCACTCAGCCCTTAAACTTAGCTCAGATGTTGCCTCCTCCAGGAAGTCTTCCCTGAAGCACACCCTCCTCTGGCCTTGTGCCTGAGTTCAGGTCAGTTGCTCAGTTGTGTCTGACTCTTTGTGACCCTATGAACTGCAGTACTCCAGGGTTTCCTGTCCATCACCAACTCCCAGAACTTGCTCAAACTCATTTCCATAGAGTCAGTGATCTCATCCTCTGTCATCCCCTTCTCCCCCTGCCTTCAATCTTTCCCAGCTTCAGGGTCTTTTCCAATGAGTCAGCTCTTCCCATCAGGTGGCCAAAGTATTGGAGTTTCAGCTTCAGCATCAGTCCTTCCAATGAATATTCAGGACTGATCTCCTTTAGGATGGACTGGTTTGATCTCCTTGTTATTCAAGGGACTCTCAAGAGTCTTCTCCAACACCACAGTTTAAAAGCATCAATTTTTTGGTGCTCAGCTTTCTTTATGGTCCAACTCTCACATCCATACATGACCACTGGAAAAACCATGGCTTTGACTAGCTGGACCTTTATTGATCAAGTAATGTCTCTGCTTTTAATATGCTGTCTAGGTTGGTCATGGCTTTTCTTCCAAGGAGCAAGTG